CTTGGATTCTTAACAGAGCTGGCCAGACCTGGGCTCCAGCCATTTGGACCAGAATCACTTTGTCTGGGCTGGACGTGGCATCGGAGTCTTTATCACCCCCAATTCCAGCATCGTCTAAAGGTGAAGCTATGAATAACCTCTGCTTTGGGAACTTGACTGGGCTGAATCTGAGGCCTGCCAGGAGGAGGAGGCTGCTGCAGTCCCTATCCCAACTTGCCTGAGTCTGCTGGGTCATCTCTACGGTGGGGAGCGTGCTGCCTGATGCATGACCAGTTGGTACGTGTCTGGAGTTTCCTGTTTGAATTATGTGTGCCCTTTGTCTCTTGGGGAAGTTCAGCCCAGCCGTCCTCAGGCCAGCCATTCCCAACACAGCGGGAAGTCTGAGTAGCGCTCTCACAGCAGCCCCACGGCCTCTCCAGCCACATTTGGGGTCCATCTGGGAGAATTGGAGATCAGACACAAGCCTGTGAGACCTCATTAGATCCAGCTGGCAAGAGATGAACGAACCTGCAGAAGAACATGAGACAGAGCCCCCAAAGAGCAGTATGAGGCAGGATATGACCCCGGAAAGGCTGTCTGGGAAAGGCAGGATGGTGGACGGTGGAAGTGCAGTCATTCGCTGCGTCGGCTCATCTCATGGCCACTCAGAGATGTTTCTCAGTTTACTTCCCATCCTCCTGGCCACACCCAGGTACTGGTCTTGGTGCTTTCCAAGGTGACTAAGAAGCTCCCTCCACCTCAGGATCAAGCAGCAGAGGCACTGAGACCTGCATCAAAGCAAGTTGGCTCCGTATCTCTCCCTTATCCGCAGTGCCACATTGCCTCACGGTCGGGGCAAGGCTGGGGAGATGGCAACCGTGAGTTCAGTGCTGATCTTTCAAAGATGCAGGTGCCAGCCTCCTGGGGATTTCTGCCAATTCCTGAAGACTCAGTACCAATCCTTCCTTTGGTCCACCTAGGTTCTGTGCTCCTTGAGTCGTAAGCCCCTCAGAAGCACTGAGGAAGCTACCCGAGCTGGACCGAGCGGGGGAAGCACGCACACGTGCCTGGCCTCTAAGTCCCCTTGCTCTCCCCAGACTCACCCTGCAGGCTTCAGCATTTCCTCCTCCTGCCCACATTTCTCACTCCATCTCCTTCCTTCTCTGCAGTCCCAAGGGAGAGGGAGCAAAGCCCTCTGCCTCCTGCCTCAGCATCAAGGAGTTTGTACTAAGGAAAGGTACTCTTTCCATCGAGGTACCTCCTGCTGAGCCATGGCTCCCCATTTTGTGACTAGAAAGTGTCCCTGCCTGATGGGGAGGTGCAAGTGCAGGACAAGGAGCGGAGGCTCTGTGCCCCTGCAGTGTCACTGTCCGCTGCCCAACACCCCTCCCAAGGCTGGGACCACAGCAGCCGCCCCACCTGGGATACAGCTCTTCTGGTGTAGGAGGCTGGGTGGAGCCACTCCTGCCTCGATGCACTGCAGCCAGGGCCTGAATTGATGCCCTGGGGGCTTTCTTTTCCAGAAAAGCCTGAAAACAGTGTGCCAGAGGCTCCAAAATTGGTGCATCGTCTTGAGGTTGGTGGATGATGAGTTAATGTTTTTACAAATAAAGTTTAAGCATTTTTTTCCTCCTCAGATCCTGAAAATGGCACAGAGACCTTGTTCTCAGGACTGAGAGCAGCAGCCGGTCTGACTCAAGTCCCCGTTATGGTTTCCAGAGAAGCTGCTGGCTGGAGATAGGACATCTGGTTTGTGTAAGAGGCACAGCTCCAACTTGGCCACAAAGAACTGATTTCTTCTGAGAATGGCTTCTCGTAATAGTTTATTGGTTTTCTGAGAGGGCACTTTTTCAGGACAAAGAAAGATGCAGAAAATGAGGGGTGGGGACGTGGTGTTGACTGCCTCATACCCTTGCTCCTCCTCTGCAGTCAGCCATAGTGCCCTGCCACCTTACCAGGTCCTTGTCTATGTTAGATCTCTTTGCTCTTTATAAAAATCACTTTAATGTTCATTTATGAAATTTTTTGAACCTACAAGGAGTAGGAAATGTCCAATGAATAAATAATCGGTACTCTTCGAAGGTTACCTGCCATTTCCTTGCTTTAATGATTTCATGGGTAAAATATTTGAGAGTGAATTATAGAAATAATGACATTTCTCATGGAAGTACTTGAGTGTGAGTCTCTCGAGCAGGGAGGACTACTTTCTGCACCTGCGGCATATAGTGTCTGCACCTCGCCCAGGTAGAAACAGCTCCTGAACCCTGTCTAGCACCACTTTTACATCGCTGTAAGTCTCTAGAACTTTTACTGTTTCTCTTTTTTGTAAAATTTAAATGAAGAGTCCCTTCCAGTTCTCTTTGTCCTGTATCTCATCAGGATAGGAAGTAAAGCTGTGTTGAGCTGATCTTTCTTTTTGAGTTGTTCCCATACTTTTTTTCATAGATTTACTTTTTTCAGCTTGTTTTCAATATTGGAACATTTCTTCTTTTTAATTTAATTGCTTAACTATATAGAACATTGACCTGACTAAAAACAAAAAACCAAAAAACACACATTTAAAAAAAGGTGCCAGGGATGTAGCTCAGTGGGGCAGCACCTGCCTGGCAACTACAAGGCCCTGAGTTCGATTTCCGGTACCCCCGCAAAAGTTAAAGGTTAAAGCTAACCTCCACTGCACTCCTGTGCTCCCTGTAGGAACCATTTAGTTTGTGGTTAATTCAGTATTTCTCTTTGTGTCACTTTTTACACAAAAAATATACCCTAGTATTCCCAAATGCACACTCTGCTCTTTCTCCGGACCCAACAGCTGCAGAGCGCTGCAGTGTCCTTTCCTCCTCTCAGAACGCACCTTTCTGTGGTGCGGATTTCCATGGTTTCAAGCAGTGCCTCACTGTGAGATGCTCCCAAGCTTAAGACACAGAGAGAAGCCACGTGCTCTCTGCTTCGGTGCAGGTACGTCATGGGACAGATCCCAGGACATGGCCTGGGACTGCACCAAAGCCAGTGACTCCCCTACCTGCTGGGCTGCTTGCTGGTAGCCGTGATGCACAGCTGGGTCTCCCACGTCTCACAACAAAATGGGCTGGCTGGGCTTGGTCAAGCTGACGGTTGAGAAATGGAGTTTCAGCATCTTTTCTTCTGCAAGTGAGGCTGAGCATGCGCTTATTGTCAAGGCCTTGACGTCTGCCTTCCGAGAAAGAGCTCTTCACGGCATTGCCCGTTGTTCTGTTGTTCTTGGTTCTTTTCTTCCATTTCTGGAAATTGTTCATATGAAAATAGATTATCCCTTTATGACAACTTGAAAATGTTTGTTCCCAAATTGCCATTGGCTTTTTTGGTTCTGTTCTTTTTTGGTGGTCAGGGATGTTTTCTGTTCTCATGTGATTTAATTTCTCCACATCTTCTCTATTGATATGGAATCTTGAACAGTATTTAGAAAGAGTCTCCCTGTGTCCAGGTTATAAAGCAAGTCAAATGCCTCCGCCTCACATGATTTTTATTTTTGGGTTTCTGGTCCACTTGGAGTTTAAGGTGACTGGGAAGTCAGACTCTCCAGGGAGCACTGCCGAGAGGCTGATGTGTCCTTTCCAGGCCCAGGCTCTTCTCCCTAGAATTCCCCTCCCAGAAGACCCTCCCCTCTGTGTTAGCTCTTGCTGAGTGTGGGGCTGTTGGTCATGGTGGGTACATCCAGGTGGCCCCATGCCTTGGCCCAGGGCTTACTGCCTGGGAGGAACCTTGGGCCACCCATGGCTCTCTCGAGTGGGCCCTGCCATGTCACTAACCCAATTTACAGTTGAAGAAGCTAAGGAAATGAATTTGCTGTCTGGGGTGTGGATGGCCCAGGGTAGGGACAGCCCCAAAGGAGGTTCTCCTCTGTCAGTGCGTGTGCCCGTCTTTCCCCACCATTTCTACTGGGGATGCTTGTTTCTCACCTAGGCAGAAGAGGTCCTGGCATTTTGGTGGGCTGGGCTTTCAGTCACGTTACGGTGGGCACTCAAATGAGGGGTGTCCCTGTGACCCACCCTATGTCCCTAGGCTGTGTGTTCTCATTGGTGGGTCCCATACCTTTCCTCCTCCCCTAATAACCCCTTCCTGGGGGAGGCTGGCGTCACTGATCCTGGAGTCTAATGGCTATAAACTTCTCTCTCTGACACTGTTCAGACCCGCTTCTGTGTGGTCTCTACCCTCCTTTGTAGCCCTTCTAAGGCCAAAAGCCACCTCTTGCCAAGGCCTGGCACAAAGGCCAGCTGTCAACTTGCTCTGAGGGACCCTTTCCAGAATCTTCCCTTAAGATCTATGGACCGGACTCTGCTTCTCTCCTGGGGCATTTTAGTACCAGGACATCACCAATGCTGGTCCTCTGGGATTTAATGTGGCTGGGTTTTGATTCTGTGGCCTGAGGTGTTGGGTGCTCCCTACAGGGAGGTAGGTGAGGTGAAGTCTTTGTGCCACAAAGTCTACCTTCAAGATGTTGATGAGCAGTGTCCATCACAGTGTCCAGTTACAGTCTTATGATTTGGATCCAAATGTCTCCCCAGAGTCTCGTGTGTTCAGAGGTGGGGCTTTTGGAAGGAGACTGGATCAGAGGTGATGTCCCCATTGGCAGATTAATCTGTTGGTGAGTGCATATGTGCTGTTAGGAGATGGGCCTGGCTAGAGGAAGGAGGTCCTGGGATGAGACCTAGAAGAGGCCATCTTGTCCCTGGTCACTTCCTCTCCGCCTCTCTTGTCCTGCTCACTCTGCTTCCTGGCTACCATGAGGTGGGCAGCTCTCCACCACATACTTCCCCCAGACATCTCTGCCTTCAGGCCAACTGACCATGGACTGCACCTTCTGAAACGGTGAGCCAATAAATCTCTTCTCCTTTTCATTGTGCACAGAGGTGTTTTGTCCCAGAGATGAGAAGCTAACTCACAGGGGCAGCACCTCCCTGGTTGGGTGCTGGAGGCTTGTGCCTGCCATCAGCTTCTTGGGAATAGGTTGTGCTCGGGCAGATGGCAGGGAAGAGCCACAGAGAGAAGTGGAAACTTTTATTAGCAGAGATCATTGACATGGAGAGGACTGATAAAAAACACAGGGAGCAGGGATAAAGTGGACATGAAAAGGATCTTCAGCGAAAGGCAGGACTAGCCACTATTTGGAGGAGAAAGAGTTCCAGGTTGTTTCTGAGAATGCTTTGGCCGTCTGGTCCAGACCAGGCCGCTGCATCAGTGTGGGGCCCTCATGGGCAGCACCTTTGCTCCTGGGATCTGAGAACCAAGGCCGGAGCATTTCCCCCACTCCCTGGCCTGAGCCATGGAGCTCTGAGGCCTGGGACCAGGGTCCCAGGGACCACTGGTGAGTCTCTGGTGGGAAGCTGACCCCTCATGCTTTGTTTGAAAATCCTCTTGACCTTGACCTTGGTTTCTCACAAAGGAAACACAGTCCGGCATCTCACCTGAGCTAACAGGGTCTGCTTGGACTGCAAATGGGAGGAAACAATAATGAAGCTTCCTGAAGAACTGCTAGGAGAACCAGCCCTGAGGAGGAGCAACAGGGAGTCAGGGAGGCAGCAGGGGCCCTCGCAGCCCAGAGCAGAGGGCGGTCCGGAGGTGGCTGCAGGGCAGGCCAGTCCCAGGGATGGAGGGAGGATGCAGACACCAGCTCTGCAAGCCGAGGGGGAGGTGACCCAAAGCACGAGCGAGGGTCTGTGGTGGGATTTCAAGCCTCCCCTTTATACACGTCTAGCTAATCAGGAAAACTCAGGTCACATTTTCTGTTTGGTCCTGATGGGCAGGGCTGGGGGGCTTGTCCTGGTACAGTGTGCACCCCTGGCCCTAACCCAGTGCCACCTTCCTGGAGACCGTCTGGTAGAAGACACCGCGGAGCAGGGCCTGGTAGTCGGGCACTCGGAACAGGTGGCGCTCACCGAAGGCCACATCGTACTCAGCGGTCTTGCCAGTGACCAGCACGCGGATGTGGGGCTCGTTCACCTGGCGGCCCACCACCACCACAAAGATCTCGATGCCTGCCCTTTGCGCCTCCTGCACGGCCTTCTCGATGGCTGCGGCTGTGGCCCCCTGCGAGTTGCCATCTGAGAACAGCAGCACCCTCTTCTTGGTGGTGCCTGAGGAGGCCTCGCGGTAGAAGCGTGTCACGAAGCTCAGGGCATCATTGACGTCGGTGGCGTCATTGAAGAAGTCCAAGCTGTCGATGGTGCTGGCCAGCACTGTGTAGTTCTGCAGGAACCTCAGGGCCGGCCGCCCTGGCCTCTGCTGGCCTGGGCCACTGTACTGCACCACTGCCACCCGCACATCCGCGGTGGGGTCCTCCCGGCCTGCCGACAGGAAGCGCTCAGCCAGGCGCTTGGCAAAGCGCTTGGTGACTTCGAAGTTGTGGCCACCCACGCTGGCCGAGCCGTCCAGCATGATGGTGATGTCGGCCGGGGAGGAAAACGTGACTGTGGGGCAGGGTGGGAAGCTGTGAGCACGAGGCCCCCCTACATGGCAGAGGCAGCCAGCCAGGGGTGCCCTCTCAGAGCCGGGAAGCAGCGCCACCCCACCCCCTGTGGGCACCGCCCTCCCTGCTCAGCCTGGTACTCACTCGGGCAGGTATAGTCCGGACACTTCTTGTCTGCAAGGAGAAGGCCCCGACTGTGAGCCACCATTTCCCACTCCACAGCGACCCACAACCCCAGCCACCACTTTCTGCCCCACTTCCAACCCTCTGAGAGGCAGAGCAGAGCCTTGGCTCTCTGACAGTGGGGAAACTGAGGCTTGGAAGAGGAGGGCAGCCTGCAGGCCAGGTGCACCCAGCCACGTGCTGACTGCGGGGCTGAAGTTGAGGGATGAGCCCCAGGTGCCCGTGGGCACTGAGTAAGGCAGTCTGGCTGGAGGGTGGCAGTGCCCACGGCAGCAGGGCTCCTGAGTGTGAGGGTTAGGGGGCATTTTGGGGTGGTGCCCGCCTGGCCCACCTATGCAGATCTGGGCCGTGACATTCTTCAGGAAGGCATCCTCCAGCAGCTCCGCGTAGTTTTCCTTCACCAGGGAGATGCCTGGCCGGCCCTGGGGTGACAGGCCTTGGCAGGAAATGACGTTGAGCTGGTCAGAGCCCGCGACGAAGCCAAACACATCCCTGATGCCCACGGACACCACCTGCGGAGGACGGTGGGAGTCGTCGGGGCGGCCCATGCCCCTGCCCCTCCTGGGGGAAGCCCCTGCTTTGGGGGCTCATGCAGGGGCCCACCTGGATGTTGGGGCCACAGAGCACGCTGAGGGGCGTGGTGTCCCGCTGGGTGTCCGAGCGCCCGTCGGTGATGACCAGGGCGATGCGTTGGCTCTGGCTGGGCGGCAGCAGCTGGTCCCGCGTGTACTGCAGCGCCTCACCCGTGAATGTGCCGCCTGCCATCCACTGCAGCTTCTTGACGGCTCTGTGAGCAGAGGGGCCGGAGGTCAGTCACATCAGAGGCGCGGCACCCCACCCGTCCCAGGGAGCTCCGGACAGTGTCCGCTCACTCCTTGAACTCCTGCGCGTTGCGGATGTGAGGGCTCCGCAGGTCCACGTGCTCCTGCATCTGGTTGTGGCTGTACTGTACCACGCCTGCATACGACTGCCCCGGCTCAAACTGTGGGAGGGGCGCGCGCAGCTTGGGAGCCGGCCCTGGGCCCCCACACCTTCCTTCGGGTTCCCCCTCCAGGCCGAGCTCCAGAGCCACACGGACAGCTGGAGTGATGTCCTGAGCGAGAGCCTGGACGGTCTGCCCTGGCTCGCTTCCCTGGCCAGCTCGGTAGCCACTGCCTCACCTTGACCAGCTCGTCCCTGCTCAGCCGGTCGATGACCTTGATGATAAAGTCCTTGGCGATCTCGAAGTTCTGCAGGCCGATGCTCTCGGAGCTGTCCAGCACGAAGAGGATGTCGATGGGGCCGCACTTGCACTCTGTCAGGCAAGGACAGCCTCAGCCCCGGGCCACCCCTGACGCTGGGCCCCGACCCTGGGGCAGCTGCTTCCTGCCCCACCCCTAACCCCAAACCCTGATCCCTGATGACAATGGACAGGGCAGCCTGGGATGGCTCCTGCGCCCGTGAGGCTGTTAGTGTTGCTGCAAAAGAGGACAGAGGGGACGGTGCCCTGGGCCGTGCGTGGGAGTCATGCAGTGAGGACATGGCTGCTGGTCTGCCCCTGCATAGATGGGACTTCCCTCCACCACCGGGTCCTGTGCCTGAAGATCAGAAGTACAGGCGTCCTGAGTGTGGGGACACTCACCACAGCAGGCTGGAGAGGAGAGGACAAAGGGGCTTCAGTGCGGCCGGCCGCTCCTGGTTACCCATCCCGGGTTCTGCCCAGAGTTGGGTCCCAGCGACCTCAGTGGACTGGGAGGCCCAGCCTGCCCCTGTGTATGGCACCGAGGGCCAGGGTCCTGTCTGCCCACCTGCCCGCCCCCCAGAGTGAACAGAGGTCCTCATGGGGCCCAATTAGGGGCTGGCAGGGGCCTGTCCTCCCAGTAGGACACTCACAGCACATCTTCATGATGATGTCCAAAATCTCACACTCCTGGGTGGGAGACACAGGAAGTCAGCAGGCTCTGGGCTGGGCCTCCCTGTCACCTGGGGGCCTCCACACCTCATATCCCAGGGTGTGTGGGATCTGCCCCTCAGAGCCTGCCATTGGGCGTGGCCCTGACACAGCCCCACATGTGGCTCTCACCTGTCCTCACAGTGGTGTCCCCTGTAGCCTTCCCATGCTCCCCCAGCCCTGTGTCCCCTGCGATCACTTCATGCCCCCCATGGCCATCCTACGTCCCTGTAGTCATCTCATGACCCTGTGACCATCCTGCACCCCCTGTGGTCATCCTGGGTCCCTATGGTCCTCTCATGTCCCTGTGGTCATCCCATGTCCCACACTGTGTCCCCGTGATCATGCAGTGTCTCTGTGGTCATCCCATGTTCCATGTGGTCATCCTGTGTCTCCGTGGCCATCTCCTTCATGAGCATTCCATGTCCCATTGTTCTCATGCCCCCTGTGGTTTCCCAGGCCCCCAGAAGCTGTCCCACAGGTGAGCCCCTCACAGGACCATGGCCCTGTGGTCTTCCCAGCGGACATCTGCAGACACCACTTACATCTGGCCCAGGTGGTCCCACGTGTCCTGGGGGACCCTGTCAGGACAAGGACAAACAAGGAGGAGCAGGAGTTGTCTTCAGGACCAGTGACCCATGACTCACTCAGGCTGGTCCTCCCCCCACGGAGGTCATGGCCACTGCCTGGGCAAACAGTGCTGCCCACGGTCTGACGGTCAGACAGCTGGTGTGGGCCCAGGGCCCTTGCGGCCACCCGGGACACAGTTTTGCTGCCCACAGAGGTCAGCCTTACTCTGGGGACCCTGTGGAGCGATGCGCTCCTCCATCCCCAGGGGACCAGAGTCCCCACCAGCCCCCACCCTGCGCAGCCCGGGGGTCTGGGGCACAGCATGTCACCCACCTGGGGGCCTTCTGGGCCACGGTAGCCCTTTGTCCCTTTGGCCCCGCGGGGTGAAATGTTGTTGTTCTGTGGGAAAATGGCACAGGGTCACACGTGGCCGTCATCTCTGGCGTCCTCATCCCTGGCGTGTGTATCTCCTTCCCCAGCAGCCCCACGCCCCACCCAGGGAGCCAGGCTGAGTCAGGGTCATGTACAGCTCTGTCCCACCCCACCCACCCCACTTACGTCTTCTCCGGGCTCCCCAGCTTCGCCCTCATCCCCCTTGAGGCCAGGGTAGCCCTTCGTGCCCTGTGGGTGACAGAACAGGTCAGTGGCATCTTGGGAGGTGGCGTTAGACAGAGGTGCTGTGCACACGGCTGGACAGTCCCCGGGGTGACACGTGTGGGCATGTGCGTTGGTGTGAGCACCGTGTGAGCACCCACATGTGCTCCGGTGTGAATGTCGACACGTGTGTGGGTATCATGCACATGTGTGCCGGGTGGTGCGCAGGTGTGGGTGGGCAGAGGGAGGGTGGGGTGTACTCACGTTCAGTCCAGGGGGGCCCCTGCTGCCTGGATAGCCCTGTGGGGGACAGAGACGGTCACACCAGGGCCTGGTGCGGGTCTGGCGAGGCCCCATCACTGAGCTCCAGGGCTGAGAGTATCAGGTAGCCAGGGTGGAGGCCACTGGAGCCTGGGGGCACTCACCGGAAAGCCAGGGAAGCCCTCGGTGCCATTTCCAGGAGGCCCATCTTCTCCCTGGGAAGTAGAGCACAGTCGCAGTCACCAGGAGCCCGCAGGAACACCTGACCCCTCCAGGCCTGACGTGATGAGGTGTCCTTGTGCTTGGGAACTCACTGCTGTCGGTGCAGCCACTGGGCAGCCCCTCCAGAAGACAGGCACCCCCATACTCACCCTCTCGCCCATCAGCCCGGGGTCTCCAGGTGGCCCAGCAGGTCCTGTGGCTCCTCTGAGACCCTAAGGAGGGGCAGGGGTGACAGCCATGTCCCACAGTGTGGGGGGCACAGAGCCCTCCAGGCAGGGAGACGCTGGAGGGGGCTGGTGCAGGCCGGGTGGGCAGATGGAGCAGAACTTACCTCAGACCCAGGGGGGCCCTCGTCACCTCGGTATCCTTTGGGTCCGATAGCACCAGCCTCACCCTGAGGGATGGAGACACGGTGGGACCCCAGGCCACACTGTGCCAGGCTCAGCCTGGGCCAAGTGTCCCAACTCTGCACCCCCAAGGCTGGGTGCAGATGGAGCCCTCGTCCCCAGAAGACCTTGCTTGGCTGCCCCTGAGCACTGGGTGCCACACCGGTGTGCTCAGGCTGGACCCTAGGAGATCCCCACGAAACAGGCCCAGGGAGTCCTCGGATCCTCAAGGAGCAGTGACCTTGCTGGGCCCCACACTGGGGGCCCCGCTTGCTCAAGCCCTCAGCCCCCTCCTCACAGACCCCAGCCACACAGCAATGGGACAACCCCGGAAGTGGGCAGGGCCACCACCTGAGCCTGCAACAACCTCTGGGCCTGGGAAGGAAGTGGGGCACACTCTCAGGCTGCTACCGGGTGGCAGTGACCACATCAGAAGTCTGTCCCAGGGCACACGTCCTAGGAAGGCCATGCTTGGCCACTCCTCTCACAGTGTTTCCAACCTTCCTAAAACTTTGTGCAAAGCCAGCCAGCCCAGCTTCTTCTGCCAGCCACAAGGTACCAACCACGTCACTCACTGTCCTTGCCCAGAACACACAAGCATCTGGCTCCCTGGGTGGGGCCTTCTCCCCAAACAGAGCATCAGGGCTGCACCTCACCAGCCTTTGCACTCACGGCTCTCCAGGGTCAGGGTCATGGGGACAAGTGTGGGCCCTGAGAGCAAGCCTAGGGCCCTAAAGGGAGGAGGAAAAAGGAGGCATGTGTGCCATGGCCCAGTGAGTCTAGCAGGTGCCATGTACCCCTGAGCCTGAAAACTGTGTGTGGAGATGCTCAGCTTCCTTCGGACTGTGCGGAAGGCAGGGTCTACAGCCACGTATAGGGCGGGACCTGTGCATTCCTCATCTGCTCCCCGCTTCCTGGGCCTCCAGGATTTGAAAAAGCATATATTTCCCAAGAAACATGCTCCTCTTGGGCCACCCAGGAGTGGGGGTCATGTTTGGAAACAATGCAGCACCACTCCTGCGCCTCTGAGCAACTCCTGCAGCTGGGGCAGCACCTGGGATGACACCTATGTGACCTCACGCGCAGGGAGGCTGGACCAGCTGTCCACAGAGCCACACAGACACCTCCAGAGCCACAGAAGGCCACCCGGGGCTTCCCACGCTCTGAGCAGGGGACAGAGGCACAGCTGAGAGTCACGGAAGTAGGGGGGAAGGAAGGTGGGGCTACCACCAAGGCCTCGGCCAGGACAAACACCCTAACCCTAACCCTAACCCAACCCTAACCCTAACCCAACCCTAACCCAACCCTAACCCTAACCCAACCCTAACCCTAACCCTAACCCAACCCTAACCCCTAACCCTAACCCTAACCCTAACCAGCCTGCTGCTCACAGTGCTTGGCCAGGCTTCCCCTCACGCTTGCCTGCGAAATCTACTCCAAATCTGCACATTGCTGGGCAATGTGGCAATGCAGAGGCCGTGAAACAGACACGCGGGTCTGAGAGCTTCACCAACCCGAGGAGCACCCAGCAGAAAACGAGTGGACTGCGAAGTAGGCAGTGGATGGGGCCCGGAACCCGGGGCACACGCCTGGCACCCAGCTCTCTGTGCATGGTTGTACCAACCCCGCCGGGCATGGCTACTCCCGGAACGTTCTGGAAATCTGCGACATTCTATGTCGGCTCTGTCACACTCTCAAGGAGACAGGAGGAAGGCTGGGTCTACTTCCTTGGAGAATTATCGGGCAGATGTCAACACACACGCACACATACGCATGCACACTCACACACACGCACATGCGCACACACCGTAGTTTTTTTTAAGAAGTTCTGTTACAGAGTCGACCTGAGGGTGCAGCCGTGGAGTGTCTCAAGGTGGTGGGCGGAGGTGGGCAGTGGGCAGGCAGGAGGTGGATGGATTTGTGGGTGTTGGACAGACGGGGACGGGCATAGACCCTGGTGTCATTACAGGGTTCTCGTCTGTGAAGCAAACACTGGGACAGTTTTCTTGCAGCTGGTGAGGCCCTCCATGCAGTGCCAGGATGTTCAGTGCCAGGCATGGGCAAGGGCAGGGCACTGACACTCTGATCAGCTGAATGTCAGCATGACATGGTCTGTGAACCACAGGCGTGCGCACGCACGCGCACACACACACACACACACACACACACCTGCACACACGTACTCTCAGAACACTTTCTAGAAAGATTGCGGGAGGAAGCCAACCTTATGGGACACTGATGGTCAAAGCCCTCTGCAGGGAAGCCCGGGGGTGTCATCCTGTGCAGCTGCTGGGGCTCCCAGGGGGGTCACTGCCCGTGGGATTTTTTACATCTAACAAAGTCGGGCACAGTGCTGTTCCAGGAGCCTGCCCAGGGCCTCACTTCTGTGGTGTTGGCCATTGCCAGCGAAGTCATATGAGTGCTTTCTTCCCACGGCCACACCGCCTCCGCCCTCAGGCACCCACCCACAGAGGCCCTGGTCTCCTTCACCTCCACGGCTGCCCCAGTCTCAAAGCTGGGCCACTAGGAAACACCTGCCACGTAGCTGCTGTGTCCTCTCTGCCACTGTCCAAAGACTGTGCTTCCCCTGGACCCTCTCAGAGGTGGCACTCCCCACCAGACACACTCTGGGATGCTTCTGCCCCTGGAGATCCCGCTCTGAACCAGGCGCCCTCTCTTCCCCTCCCCAGTGCAGTCCCTGGAGGGTCTCACCCGCACCCCAAATCGCCCAGCGGCTTCTCCCGAGGACGGAGCCCACCCTGCGCCCCCCAGGTCCAAGCACTCATCTCTACCACATGCAGTCTGGGGTGCCCTGCACCCCCTTGGTCCTCCAGCTCTTTTCCCCTGCCCACCTGCCCTGTCCCACTTGCCAGGTCTCTGTGCTGCCCGCCTCCTCCAGCACAGTCCCTCTGGGCACCCCTGTCCAAAGCTGTGCACTCATCTTAGGGTCCTCTCATGGGAACCCCACAATCCCATGGGAACGGCCCCAAGGCTGTAATGTCTGATGTGGCTCTGAGTTGTATGTGGCTGACGGCCAGCGAGCTGCCCTGAGTGAGGGCACCCTACCGGGTCTCCAGGGACACCAACGGGGCCTTCTCGTCCCTGGTCACCTTCGGGTCCAGCTTCGCCCTGGGGGAGACAAGCCGGTGAGTGGAGGTCGGGTCACACGGCAGCCTGCTCTGTGCTCCTCAGGGTGGGTGGCTGGTGGGGAGGGACAGGTGGGCCGGGCTGCTTCTCATCTTTTCCTCTGACCTGCCCCCTCCCGACCTGGCCAGGTGAGGCCCAGGGTCTCAACCCCGGGGGCAGCACCGACCTCGGAGGCCACCACGAGGAGGCTGATCTGGTTCAGAGGCCGAGCCCCAGCCTCTCCCAGCCCAGTTGTGGGCTCTCTGGCCTGAGTGGCTGCAGCAGGAGGGACCAGGGTGACCCACACTGTCCCTGGGGAAAGGTGAGGCAGCAGGTGTGGTTGGGGCAGGTGAGGTGCAGGTTGCTGTTGGACTCCTTCCCCTCAGCCACCTCCAATCCAGCAAAACCTCACACTGGCTCAGGGACTGCAAGACCAGGTCCCAAGAATGGACTGGACCAGGGAGGTGAAGGCAGCCATGTGCTGCGGGGTCTCTGCCTCAAGGCTCCCCAGCAGCCTGGCCTGGGCCTGTCCCTACCTGGGTCCAGCCCAATGTCCTGGCTCATGGAGGAGGAGCCTGCCCAAGAACAGGGTCTGCACAGGCAGCCTTACAGTAGCCGCTGAGGGGTGGTCAGCAAACCAGGTTGGGAGCCCATGGCTGACTGTGCCATGGGGTGGCCAGGAGCAGACTGCCCAGTGCAGGTTGCTGGGGATGCCAGAGGTGTTGACAGGGACAATGACAAAACCCTCAGCCCTGGTGAGCAGGGGAGACAGGGACTCGTCCCACTCCCATGGCCGCCTTGGCTCTCCTTGTCCCCAGGACCAAGCAGGGCTTGGGCTCTGTGGACTCTGCAGCATGGGGTCACGGGCAGCCGAGGCCCAGACACCAGGGGGTGGCAGGCCCAGATGTGGTCCTGATGTCTCACCTGTCCTGACCGTGCCACAGCCCAGCATCAGGACAGACTCACCGGGTCTCCCCTAGGCCCCCGCACACCTGGGGTTCCCCGCGGTCCTCTCTCTCCAGCGCCGCCCTGCGTGGAGAGGATGCGGTGTGAAGCCCCAGTGGGCAGGAACTTGGAGCCAGGCAGGGATTGCTCCGGGGCCTCCCTGCTCCCCAGGTAACCCCGTGCCCCAGACCGAGCCACAGCTCAGGCCGGTGGCCCCATCTCCTGTGGCTGTGCCGTGGAGACAGGACCACAGTGACTCACCCTCTCTCCTGGAGGGCCATCGGGTCCCGCGTTCCCCTGGAGGAGAAGCACACACCAGGGTCAGTTTGTGCACTGACCCACGTGGCCTGGGAGGGCCGGACACCCCGCTCACCTCGTCGCCGGCCTCTCCTTTCTCTCCCGGGGGACCAGGCTCTCCAGGCTCGCCCTGCAGACAAGGGCAGAGTCACTGTGCCGCCCTGACCAAGCCCTGCGTCCATCCATAAGGCCACCACCGCTGGCCTCACCTCGTCTCCTGATGGGCCCGAGCTCCCCGGCCTTCCGGGCTCCCCAATGGCTCCAGCTTCACCCTTGGGAAGGTCAGAGGTCACAGATGCTGTGGAGCGGCCCTGAGGTCACGCTGGGGTCCAGGGACCCTGTACCCACGTGCTCCCCAGACCTCAGGCCGCTCTGACCAGAGCCACACAAATCCCAGGTCTCCTGGGACCCCAACCATCAACTGCCCCAAAACTGCCTGGAACACCTCAGCCTGGTGAGACCCCAAGGGTCCAGGCCGAACCTGGAAGGCTAAACCCTGGAGGCCCCCCAAGTCAGGCCCAGAATGTGATGTGCAGGCCAGAGGATGGAGTCCAGAACCTTTGGCTGGATCTCTGGCAGCTTTGAGGGTACACAGCCAGATCCCCTCCTCCTGCCCAGCACTTCCTGTACCCCTGGAAGTCCCAGGCTGGACTCAGAGACCCCACGCTCCTCTGCCTGCTGGCAGCTACAAGGGCCTCCTTCTCCCTCAGGCCCTGGGTCCCTGAACAGGGTCAGGAGGAGGCCCAGCTGCAGGGGTGCAATGGCTGCTCAATCCCTGCAGGCCGGCCACCCCTGCCTGCCAAGGGGAGCCTGCAGCGGAGACCCAGCCCCCAGCAGGGTCTGGGCCTGGACTCTGACACCAACACGAAGTCCTGCCCACGAGGCTGGCACCGCTCACCTTCTCTCCCTTCATTCCGAAGGCACCCACATCTCCCTTGGGTCCCGGGGGTCCCTGGATGCCCTGGTGAAAAGAGGTGGTGTCAGGTCACAGTGGGCAGAGGTCCCCCGGGCCTCCAGTGAACCACTGCCTGGCAGACAAGCAGGGATGGGGCCACATTCCTGAGACCCACAGCCCCCCACCAGGGGTGGAAGTGACTCACGTCAAACCCTGGTGAACCCTTGCAGCCCGGCAAGCCTGGGTACCCAGTCTCTCCCTGGAAGAGGAGGAGAAGGATAGGGCTGGGTGGTCTGGGTGGTCAGGGGTGGCTGGAGGCGGGCAGCCGCCGATCCCTGGCTCTTCACCCCTCACCCAGTGACCCGGAACTCAACTGGGTGACTTGGGGTCCACTGGGACCTGGGGCTGGGCAGTGAATACCCACGGGAGACATCCCTGACCCAACTCGTCTTCCCGGCACCACCCAACCACCCTCAGGCTACCTTCATGCCGTCCACCCCGTCAATGCCACGCTTGCCCTTTTCTCCCTGAAAGGCACCAAGACAAAAGAAAGGGTCAGGTGAGGGTCAGAGGTCAGAGAGTACTGTGGGGACACCATGTCCCACCTGCCACACTCACCTTGTATCCCTTGGGTCCCCTGGAGCCCTGCAGAGACAAGAAGGGGGGGTGAGGGTGGCCAGCAGGGCGGTCCCTGCCCCACGGAAGTCTGCCCAGCAGAAGGGTGAGGCAGGGACATCTGGCCAGGACCCCCGTGGACACAAAGCTGCCCCCAATCCAAGGGGCCTGGGTGTGGGCGCAGGGCCCTATTAAATGGAGAGCACCTGGAGCCCTCGGGGGTGCCCCTGTGAGAGCGATGGTGCCATGCAGCCCTGCCGGCCCCAGGGGCCCCATCCCTGGGTCAGGTGAGAGGCCCCGCAGCATCCGGGGAGGGACGTGCACCTTTTCTCCACGGCTCCCCTTCTCTCCCTGCAAACAGAACACATTGGGGGGTGGGGTCAGCTGTGGGGCTGTGCCCACTGTGTGGACCCCAGCGCGGGCCTCCCTGGAGCGGGGACACGTACCTTCATGCCCTGGTACCCAACGGGTCCAAGGTCCCCAGGTCGTCCCTGGAATAGAGGAGGGGCTGGTCAGACGTCACCTCGCTGTGGCTCAGGCCTGGTCGCTGGTGGGACTCAGAGAGCACTGGGAGTGGCTGCTGTGATGGTCCCAGGATGGAGGGGACCCACAGAGGTGGTCAGGGAGGGGACAGGGGACAGGCTGCTGGAGGGGGTGGGGTGGAGGTGGGGAGAAGGGTCTGCAGGGTCTGGTCCAGTCCCAAAGCAGAGGTCTGGGGACCGCAGCCCCTTCCCCGATGAAGGCATGCAGGTGACGCTGGCTTTCAGCCATGCTCTGGAAGCTCCTCAGCACCTCCCCGCTTCCAGGCATTGGGCACTCACGGGGTCTCCAGCTTCCCCCTTCTCTCCAGGAAGGCCTGGCTTTCCTTGTTCTCCCTGGCGGGCAGAGCAGACAGGTCAGGGGCAATTCTGTCCACTTCCAGAAAGTGAGCCTGGGTCCCCTCCTTGCCCAGGGAAAAGGCTGTTCAGAGCCCATGCCCTGGGCCTGTCCTGGGCTCTGGAGCCCTCACCCCGTGCATCCTCACCCTGTGACTGCCTGGCCACACTCACACAAGTGCTCCTGTGCCCCAAATCCTCAGAGCCATGCAACTCTGCCACCAGGATCTGGGGACCCTGAGCCCTCTGGGCTTGTGGCTGACCCATGCCATCATCCTGCTGTGGTCCCCACATTCTCACACCGCAGCCCTTAGGTGGTCCCTTCCCATCCAAGCGGGTGCCAGGGAGAGCTTGGACGTTTGGGGGCCATGGTCCCTGGGCAGCCTGATGGGCCTTGGAGCCCCAGCCTCAGGCCAGGCCACGCCCACACCAGGCCACGCCTGTGCCATGACCGGGACTTCCTGCTGGACTCATAGTGCCCAGCCTGCAGGTATTCAGGACCACACACGCAGGGTTGGAACCCACGTGTCCCCATGAACAGAGCAGGACAGCCACTCACCTCGTACCCAGGGTCGCCCCGGGGCCCTGGAGGTCCTCTGGCAGGCTGCAAGAGAGGAGGGCATCAGGATCGACCCAGGCAGGGGCACGGGCTGGGCGGGCGGGGCAGGGCCATACTCACCTGGCATTCGAAGGAGCAGCACTGTGGGAAGCACAGAAGGCGGTCAGAGGTGGAGGTGGGTGTCTGGACACACCTGGGCACACTCCCACACACATGCACAGGACACGTGCCAGGGCACGATGTTCTTAGGACAATGCCCAAACATGCTTCCACACACGTGTGCCAGAACATGTGTGTATACACTAGGACATGTGCCAGCACCTGGACTAACTCCCAGAAGCATGTACAGGACACGTGCCTGGAGATTTCCCACACGTGCTCAGCACATGGGCTCAGAAGCGCTCTTGCGCATGTGCAGTACACATGCCTGGACATGCTTCTACATGGGATCCCGCAGGGACACACAGGACACAGGTCCGGTCGTACCCTCAGGCGGGTGCCCCAGGAGCACCTGCCAGGGCGGGGCAGGGCAGGCGGGAGGTCTTACCACTTGCTCCACGTTATTTTTCTGAAACAAGAGGGAAAACTGAGTCACTGCCTTGGGAGAGCACGGCTGCCCCCCAGCCTCCGGTGGTGGCGGGCGGTGCTCACGATCATGTCCACGATGGTGTCGATGGTCTGGGCGATGGTCTCCTCGGCGTCGGGACTCTGTCCCCAGTCTGCTGCCGTGAAGTTGCGCCGGTACGTGTGGTCCGTGGCGATGATGCTCAGGCGCGGCTCCTGGGGGCGGGGAGCGGGTGAGTGGGGCCAGGCGGCGACGCCCCTCCCTCAGGACGGGTCAGCGCATTCCAGGTGCTCACCAGGTGGTCAGGCGTGATGGCCACTGAAAAGACCTTGATGCCCAGGTGCTTGGCCTCGTTCACAGCGTCCTCCAGGCCCCCGCATGGCTCCTTGTAGCCCTCCAGGGGATGCCCGTCGGTCACCACGATCAGGTACTTGTTCTCCTTGAGGTGGGAGCCCCTGGGGGAGCAGCAGTGTGAGGCCCTCCCCAGGACTCCCCCAGAGCCAGAGGCGATGGGGCCAGGAGGGGACCCGGGCTGGCCGTGGACAGGCACGCACTTCCTCCTCGGTCTGATTATTGAAAGTGCGGCGCAGGGAGCCAGGTACTCGCGGATCTGGAGAGCACTCACCCCACCAGCAGCTCCTCCAGTCCCTTCTTGATGGCACAGTCCGTGTAGGTGCCCTTGCCGAAGTACTTGACAGCGTCCACGCTGGCCTTGAGTTCATCGCGGCCGGCGGGCATGCGCATGAGCCCGCGGATGATCTCCACCTCGTCGCTGTAGTGCAGCGCGCCTGCATTCCACACCAGGTTGCGGTCGCAGCGGTAATACCTGTGGAGTCCGGCAGCGGGCACTCGTGAGGACATGCTGACCTTCAAGGGCTCGGTGTCCCGGTGCTCATATGGGCAGAGGCCTAGCCTGGGTCCCAGGGGCTCTGCCGGGCTGGAGTGACCGAGCCCAGATCTGGGCACCTTTGGGATGGTACGGCAGGCGGCTCTGCCCCATTTCACAGGTGGGAAACTGGCACAGGAGCTGAGTAAAGGCCCGGAGGATGCTCTGAGGGGGGCACCAGGCCACTCGGCGCCCCAGCTACTCCTTCGCCCAGCTCCGCCTACACCACACTCCTCCGCCCCATGGACTTGGGGCTGCTGGCCCCAAAGTTCCCCTATCAGCAGCCCAGCCCCAAGGTAAACAATCAATGTGGCCCCACAGGCACCCTTGGCTCCCCTGGCCCCTTGTGGTAGGCAGAAGGCTTGGCTCCTGCCAGAGGGTTGGGGGATTGGGGGGACGGGGAGGAGCCTGTGCCAGTGGAGCCCATCCCCCACCAACCACAGAGGTACTGCAGGCCCAGGGCCCCAACCACTGCCCAGGGCCCAGTGCTGGGAATCTGCAGACAGGGGTAGTGAGGAAGTGAGAGGCAGGGGTACCACGCCCATACCCAGAGATGTGCCCAGTGGTCTCAGACATGGAGGCGGCTGGGCCACTAGGCCCGGGAAGGTCAGGGACATGGGGCTCAGTCTCAGCAGAGGCCCTGATACCTGTGTGGGCGGCAGGCAGGGTCCCGCTGCAGCCGGGCAGCCAGGCCCAAGTCCCCAAGCCTCAGGGTGCTCGGGAGTGGCAGCAGCTCCTCTCTCTTTGGGGCTCAGGCCTGCATCTCAGCAGGGAGGCACCAGGCGGCCAGGAGTCTGCTGCCTCCCCATCAGTCCCCCGGAGCCTCTGGCTGGTGGTTACCTGTGGAGGCTGGGAAGCCTCTCCACCCGCTGGTCCCGGGCCACAGACACCACCAGGCTGGGTCCTACCTGTCTCTCAGGTTGTCGATGAAGCGCTTGGTGAAGCCCTTGACTTTGTCCACCAGGGCCCCATAGGGCTTCAGCCTCAAGGCCACACTTTCAGAGGTGTCCAGCACGAAAAACAGGTCCACCGGGCAGTCTGGGCCAAGAGGTCCCGTGAGCCACGCTGCCTGGGCACACGAGGCCCCTCCCCTTTCTCCTCCGACCCCGGCTGGACAGGGAGAGGACGAGGCCCCACCCGGCCCGGGAGGACAGAGAAGACAACTTCTCCTTTGGTGTCCACATCGGGTGTAAAGCCACTGGGGGCACGGCCTTCAGTAAAGTGGGCACAAAGGTCACCCTGTTTCTAGGCTGGCGAGGAGTCGGGAATGAGCGGTGTTTGCCCATCACGACTGCTGTCCATGGAGTCCAGAAAGCTGGCCCGGAGCTTGGCCATCAGCTCCCCCCTCCCCTGGGTCCCTCCCGGGTGGCCCAGCCCAGGGTCCCCCAGAAGTGAGGGGTGACAGGAGCTGGCCTGGCCAGTGGCACAGGCGGGAGGGGACAGTTCTGCCTCGGCCTGGGCTGCATCCTGTCCCAGCTTCTTCCCCAGCCCCAAAAGCAGGGAGTGGAGTGGCACAGCCAGGCACTCACCTTGGAAGGTGATGGCCTTTGAGGCCATCTGGATGTCTTGCGCAGCCACCCAGCAGGCCTGCAGTAGCAGGGACAGCAGGACGCCTGCCTGCCTCATGTCGCTGGCCGGCCCGCAGTCACCTTCCAGGAGGCCCGATGGAGGCCCTCTCAGCTCCTCTGCACTGGCAGTTACAGCCAGGCCCACAGAAGCGGGAGGCGGGAGGCGGAGGCGGGAGGCAGGAGGTGGGACGGGCGGCGCCCAGCACTGAGTCATCGGCAGGCCCCTCCCTGGCCTCTGAAACCAGAAGCCCCTCTGCCCCGAGAGGCTCCAGGGCCTGGGGAGGACTCTGCTTCTCAGGGCTTTTGGGGAACTCTGTGGGCCACAGCTCCCTCGCAGTGGGAGAAAAGATGCCCAGAAAAGAACCGCAACCCAAAGCAAGTTCAAGAGGGTTGCTTCTCTCCAAACACCCCATCCCCAGCTAACTGCCTTTGAGTCCACAGCTCTCAGATCCTGTTATTTTTCATGGGAATGTTGCTTCACAGTTCAGTCAAATGCAGCTGTGCAAAAGACCCCTGTGGGCATTACTGTGGGGACAGGAAGTTGTCTAGCACTGGAGTGTGCATATGTGTGTGCCTGTATGCATGTGTATGTAAGCACGTGTGGGCACACGTATGTGTAACAGAAGTGTACGTGTGTGCAGAGAGACTCCAATGGTGGGCAGAGCAGAAAAGAAAGACACATCCTTGTCCCGGAGGAGTCCAGAAGAGTGGCAGAGCTGCTGATGCTTGCCCAGTATTAGTCAGAAATTTTGTGATATGAACTATTCAAGCAGGGCAGTTGCTGTTAAGGGAACCCAGCAGAATCACGCTCACCCGTGCTCCCGACGTGGCCTAGGGCTGCCCGTTCCCCACTCCTGCCTCACAAGCTTTCACGGTGGCCAGCGTCTTCCTGCCTCTGCTTCATCAGACGCCCTTGGTGCTGTGCAGCTATGGCTTCTGATTCAAATGCGGACCTGGAGCCACAGTTTGGGGTGCGGGCTCACACTGCCTGTCTGGTCGGGGCCATCCTGTCTGCAGGTGCAGTGATCCCGTGTCCACAGTGAGCGGCATGAGGCCCGTGTGAGCCCCCAGCAGAGGCCAGGCCCTCAGAGCAAGGAGCTGGCGTGTCGTGGTGGGCAGCAGAGGGCAGCTCAGGGCCTCTGGGTTGCTCTGTGTATTTGAGAGGGGTTGCGCTTCCGCAGGTGCTTGGGGAGGAAGGCACGGAGGCAGCACCATGGCCTATCTGGGCACACCCTGAGGGCAGCAGGGATGTGGGTGGGAAAATGTGGAGGCTGCTGCACCCTGGCCTTTGCCCCCAACATGTGCCAGGACGTGTGTGTGGAGTGGGAGGTGCTCCCTGGAACAGACAGAGCCTCAGCCTGGAGCTTCCTGCCCAGAGCCCTGGGCACCTGGCAGGCAGTGGGCACATGAAGGCAGCACAGCTCCTGTGCTCTCAGGTGTCTCTGGGGATGTGGCCCGGCTGGGAAGAACCACCCTCTGCTGAACTGTCCCGCCCACCCAGCACGAGTCCCTTCTGCTACCTGCTGGCTTCTCTGCCTCTGTCTCTAATCCTCCCTGGCCCATTCATTGTTGCCCTGGAGCACTGAAGCCACCCCCCGGGCCAGTCCAGTGGTCTTTGGTACAAACATTTGGGCCCCCAGCCCCACCCACATCCCTGCTGCCCTCAGCCCCGGGTCCCAGTGCAGGAAGAGAGTGGTCTCCAGGATCTGCCACTGAACAGGGCCAGGCTGGGTGTGAGAAGGCCCTGCAGCCCAGCCCACAAGTGCACAGCTGCGTGTGGGTCCTTGTGTGCACGAGTGTCTGTGTGTATCTTGGGAGGAGGGGCTGCAAGCCAGCTGTGTCCCCACGACCGGATAACTTGGGATTTCTCATCCCTGATGCCTCGTAGAGAGGGCACAGAATCCCCGTCGTCAGGTGCACAGCAGGGACGTAGGTGATGTCCAGCAGGTGCCGCCTCCAGGGGCGGGGCCTGCACTGGAGGGGTGGGGCCTGTACCTCCTCCTCCTTCGCCTCTCCCTCTCTCCACCAGTCTCCTTGTCCTCTCCTCCTCCTCCTCTGTCCTCCTTTCCCAGCAGTTTTTTGGGGGAGAGGATTTTCTGCCAAGGGGTAGATTGACTGAGGAGCAAGGCTGTCCTGATTCAGAGGGACAGCATGTGCCTCACTGAATGACACAGGCTGCTCCCTCGCCGTGCAGTTTTGTGTCTTATGCGTCAGTTAAAATCACTTCTAAAAAGCACCCCCCAGTGTGCTCTAAGATGGTGCCAGTGGGTGTGGCAAGGGTTCTGCCAGGCAGGGGTCCATGTCTGGGGTCTTCTCCAGGGAACAGTGGGGAGGAAGTGCCCAGGACAGCAGGGACACTGCCAGGCCTCACCATCCTGGCCACACGGAACCCAACTGCCCTGAAGCAGGACCCAGAGCCCCGGCCTCAGTGTGGCCCCATAACCAGCGCAGGTTCCTTGCCTGTTCTGAGTTCTCAGTGCTGTCCACAGAGATTATCACCAAGGCCCGTGCCATGCCAACTTAGGGGGCTGACACCCAGGACCATGCCTTGGACCCTGAAGGGATGCCGTGGTGGGGTGGAGTCTAGGGCCCAGGTGCGAGTCCCCAGAGCCACATGGACAGGAGGCTGCTGCCCGAGGTGGACTTCATTCCCTCAGCCCAGGGGGGAAAGTGAGTCAGGTCAATGTGCTCAAGATGTATGGCTGAGGAGTAGCCCAAGGAGGCAGGCCCAGGTACTGACCCCATGCATCCCTGGGCTCTGAGCTGTCCCCTCATCCCCCCTTGGTGCACCCCAGGAGCCTGTGGTCTCTCTCCTGCTGGCAGGCTCAGGTCCCTCCTGGGTGCCCTTTCTGCTTTCGCACAGTGTGTAGAGTTTGTCTGGACAGGGTCTGTCCCATCTCCCGGGCTGGAGGAGAGATGTCTGGGGATTTTCCACAGCTCTTCCAAGAGGGCGTGGAGACAGCTGGGCTTGTGGTGAGACAGCACCAAGCCCGGGGGTGGAGTGGCCCGGGTCTGAGGAGCCCGTCTTGTCCTCGGGGATTCCGGGCCATCCGCTCCTCCCTGGTAGTGGTAGGGCAGGCACCATCCTTACAGATACCGAAGGCCCAAGACCCCCTCACATCTGTTGGACAAAGACATTTTTGATGTCTTTACTGCCTTGAGTGCCGAGTAGATTTTTTTTCCCAACTTAGAACATGATTCATCAAGGAAAGTAATGTTTTCCTGGGGCTGCATGTGTAGTCTCCATGGCTACCTCCCCTCAGACACTGGGGCTTGTGGGGATGCTGACAGCCTGGCTCCACTGCTGAGTCCTTTCTCCCAGGTGCCTGTCCCCACAGTCCACTCCCCGGGGTCCCTGTGGCTTGGCCCAGGGCCAGGCTTGGCCGACTGCTGGGCCCTGGGGACAGAGCAGCTCCTGTCTCCCAGCCCCTTTTGCAGCCTCAAAGTGAGTCACCTGGTGGGGAGTGGCCAGGAGTGGATCTGCTTCTCGGGTCGGGCTGGGCCACCTCCTGGCAGCCCCAGCCACTGTTTCAAAAAGGGCAGCCCTTCTGCTGGTGACCAGGACAGCAGCGCAGGACATGGAAGCTGGTGGTCTTACTGCTGTCAGTTCGATCCATTGGAGCCTGCCAGGTGGCCACGTGTTTTCAGCTGGCAATGAGCCAGTATCAGCGACAAAAGCTGAGCTGGGGACAGCAGCTAAATGAAGGCAGGGGTCATAGGACTGGCTGCAGTCAAGAGGATCCTGTAGCCCAGCCCTATGACCACAGTGGGGAGAGGACATGGAGCCCTGGCTCCATGATGGGCACGAGTGTGGTGGCGCAAGGACCCAGACTGTGCACGAGGGGACTGGACTGTGCCTGCCAATATGTTAGGCTCCTGCCAGAAAGGCCTCCCTAGCCTATGCCAAAGGGCAACAGGATTCAAGTTCTCCAAGCATTATGTGTGATACCCAGAGGCTCCCACTGGGGGCTGCTCAGTTCCCAGCTACATGACTGTCCTGGGGCCACGCGCAGCCCATGCTGGTCTGAGGTTGCACCACACCCTACCGAGGGACGATAGGGAGGCCAGGATGGGGGACACCGAGCCCTCAGCCCTCAGCCTCACATTGACCGCTCGGCCTGCAGGCTCCGAGGCCGACTGGGGTTGCCTACTCTTGGGAGCTCTTCTGGGGCTTGGAACCAGAGCCAACTGGGCCAGCACCTTCCTCTTCCCCAGCAAGGAAGGGAATTTCCCAGGCTCCCTCTCAGTGCACTCATGGAGCTGGAGTGTCCCTCAGGCCCTGGGAGATCTTGGCTCTACACAGAGCCCACTGCCCCCTCTGTCCTAAGAATACGACCCTGGTATCTCCTGAGGCCACATGGGTGGCCTCCTCAGGCCGAGGCAGGATGCACACAACTCCCTGGGATGCCCCTGGGAGCTGGCAGTGAACCTGGTGAGGGCCACAGGCAGAGGTTTCAGGGGCCTCCTCCCCGGTCCCCTCTGCAGAGGTCAGGGGACACTGGGCACCCAAGGCAGCATGTCAGTTGCAGGGGTGGCCATGGTTACTGATGTGCCCCTGGGAAGAAGTGCTCTGGACTGAGTGGAGCTGGCCACATCTCCCTCCCTACTGAAGGCCCCTCATAAGTCCCTAGTGTCCACGTCCTTGTCCTGGGGGGCAGGGTCTCATGGGGGACAGGCCAGGGAGGGTGTGGCCAGCAGTACCAGGGGAGTTAAGAGCCTGACTTGGGGAAAGGGGCTGGGAGTGCAGGGCCCCCAGGGAAGCCCAGGTGGGGACTGGGTGCCAGGGCAGCAGCTGCCCACTGAGTGCAGGGAGGTCCCCTGAGGCCACAGCCACCCACAGTACCCAGGATACCCTGGAGGCAAGATGGCTGGGCAGGGGCACCTTCATGTCCTCAGGTCTCATCCAGGGGCCTACCCTGCACACCCGCCCAGACACGGGCCTGGAGAGCTGAGGGCCGGAGGGTTCATATTTCCCGTTACCTCATGCTGGCCTCTGGTTCCTTGGAAAGAGCAAACATCTGGCAGTGACGTTTCCCTACTGCTGGGTCTGGGGAGCAGCTGTGGCTCCTCTCCACAGAGCCGAGCTGGAGGAGGAGATGGCAGACAGTGGGGGTGGGTGGGGGCTTCCCAGGAAGTGACAACGAGGTTGGCTGTCCACCTGGACACCCAG